GATATTGCCATTTTTATTAATCAGTAATTATCTTGTGATTTTGATTTGCATTTTCCTGAAGACTGATAAAGAGTAAATACCCTTTTATATGTTCCCTGGCTATTTGCATGTCATATTGTAAAGGGTAAAATTTTATCTGGTTTGAAAACTTTCATTCTATTGAGTTGTATGAATTTGTGGTGCATTTGTGTTATGTCAACTTACCTAAGCTGGAACTACTATCCCAAGGATTCCCTGACCTACATAGTTCTGATGAGTGTGGGCCACAAGAGGGCATTTGCACAGAATTTGGGATACATATGTGAGAAAATAGTCATCTTCTTTTTATCTGTGGAAGGTTGGAGCAAAGCAGGTGGCACATTGGTTCTTGTTTACTAGTTCCCTTGCTGACATGATACAGCAACTGACTTGTAGCTCCTTTTGTCCAGCCAGGCTTCTCTTTACTTGGCCCTGAATCCTGGGCTAGGTGCACATTTGTCTCCTAATACTGGTTGAATTATGTCCCTTCAAAAAATATGTTGGAGTCCAAATCTTCAATACCTCAGAATGTGGCCTTATTTGGAGATAGGGTCTTTACAGAGGTAATCAAGGCTAAAATGAGGTCATTAGGGTGGGTGGTAATCCAACACCACTGGTATTCTTATAAAAAAAGGAGGATTTGGACACAAAGACAGACATGTACATTGCAGGGAGAACACCATGTGAACATGAAAGCAGAGACTGAAGTGGTTCAGCAGAAGCCAATGAACACCAAGGATTGCCAGCAAACCACCAGAAACTAAGAAGCTAAGATCTGAGAGGCATGGAACAGATTCTCTCTCAACCCTCAGAGCCAACTGTGCTGACACTTTGATCTCTGACTTCTAACCTCTGGAACTAGGACAACAAATTTCTTTTCTAAGCCACCCAGTTTTTAGTACTTGTTATAGCAGCTCTAGCAAATTAATAATTGGAAGCTTGAAGGTGGTGAGAGATTTACAAGGGTTCCAGTCTGTCCTTGGGGATTCTAACCCAAACTTGCACATTCCTTTCTCCTTGCTTCCTTCATTTCACATCTGACTTTTCTTCCATACACGCATGCACACACACCCTTCCTAGTGGTTCTGTTTCTTTGATAAAGCCTTGAATAACAGAATTCTTCATATACTTTTCATAGCAGTTGTTAATCAAGTGTATATTTGGGGAAGATTCCACCCCCCTTCAATCTGTGTTCTTTTCATTTTCATAATGGTGTTTGTGAATAGCAACCATTCTTAATTTTGATGAATAAAATTTATTAATTTTTTGAATTTAGAGTTAGTGATTTTTTTTTTTTGGCCTGATCTGAGAAATCTTTGCTCCAAAGTCATGAGATATTCTCCTACATTTTTTGAGCATGGTATGCGGTAGTGGTCAGAGTTTTTTTTTTTTTTTTCTTATGGAGATTCAGTTGTTCCAGTACTATTTATTAAAATGAACTTTCTTTCTTGAATTGCCCTAGTTTCTTTGTTGAAAATCAGTTGACCATTTTCAGGTGGGTGTATAGCTGGATTCTGTTCTGTTAAGTTGATTTACTTGTGTATCTTTAGAGCAGGATCACATTGTAATTACTATGATAGCTTTGTAGTAAACCTTGAAATCAGGGATTATAAATCTCCCAACTTTGTTCTTTTTCAAAACTGTTTTGACTATTCTAGATTCTTTTAATTTACATATAAATATGGAATGAGTTTGTAAATTTCCTTAAAAAGTCTTCCTGGTATTTTGATTGGGATTGAATTGGATATATAGATAAATATATGAAAGTATTGATATTTTAGTAATGTTGAGTTTTCCAATCTATGAATATGGCATATATCTCCATTTATTTAGGCCTTCCTTTAATTCTCTCAGGGAATATCTAGTTTCCAATGTAGAGGGTTCATACATTTTTCATTAAATTTATTCTTAAGCATTTTAGGCTATTATCAGTAGTATTTTAAACTGTTTTCCAATTGTTTGTTGCTAGTATATACAAATATAATTTATTTTTATATACTGAACTTGAATCCAACAATCTTGCTAAATTCAATTGTTAGTTTAAATTATTAAAAATAGGTTCCTGGATAAAATCTAGAACACTGACAGTACTAAATACCAGCAAGGATGTGGAACAAAAGTAAATCTCAATTCTCATTCATTGCTGGTAGAAAGACAAAATGGTACAGCCTCTTTAGAATACAGTTTGACATATCTTTACAAAGCTAAATATAGGCTTAATATGTGATACAGAAATCATGTTTCTAGATGTTTACCCCAAACCTGCAGATGAATGTCTGTAGCAACTTTATTTGGAATCACCAAAAACTGGAAGCAGGCAAGATGCATTTCTTTTTTTTTTTTTTTTAATGTTTATTCACTTTTTGATAGAGAGAGCATGAGTTGGGGAGAGGCAGAGAGAGGGAGACACAGAATCTGAAGCAAGCTCTAGGCTCTGAACTGACAGCACAGAGCCCGATGCGGGGCTTGAACCCATGGACCGTGAGATCATGACCCGAGCTGAAGTCAGATGCTTAACCGACTGAGCCACCCAGGCACCCCTGCCAAGATGCATTTCAATAGATTACTGGATGGACAAACATTGACACGTCCATACAATAGAGTATTATTTAGCAGTAAAAAGAAAACCATGAAAAGATGTGGAGGAAACTTAAATGCATAGTACTAAGTGAAAGATGTCAATCTGAATAGGCTGTATTCTATGATTATAACTATGTGACATTCTAGAGAAAGCAAAATTACGGAGACAGTAAAAAAATTAGTGGGAGGAGTTTGTGAGAGAGAAGGATGAATAAGTGGAGCACAGAGTATTTTTAGTGTAAAATTATTTTATATGATATTGTGCTGGTGTATACACAACATTACATATTTGTCAAAACCCATAGAATTGTACAACACAAAGGGTAAAGTATATCAATATCAGTTCAACAAGTTATAACAAATGGACCACACAAATTCAAGAAGTTAATAATAGGGTAACTATTAAAAAACATTCTGGTTTTTTTTTAAACTGTGTTTTAGCCCTTACCAAGGGTCATATACTGTGAAATAGAAGTGGTGAAAGCATGCACTTTGTTACTGATCTTGGAAGAGAATTGTTCAATATCTTTCTCCTTTACTATGGTGATGTAGATTGCATTAATTAGATTTACCCACGTTAAATCTTGCATTCCTGGCGTAAGCATCCCTTAGTCATATCTTATTATCCTTTTTATATATTGCTGGATTTAATTTTCTACTACTTTGTTGAGGATTTCTGTGTGCATGTTCATAAGCGTTTTTTTCTCTTTTTTCTTTCTCTTTTGAATTCCAGTTAGTTAACATACAGTGTAATATTAGTTTCAAGTGTACAATTTAGTGATTCAACACCTACATAGAACACCCAGGGCTCGTCACAGGTGCTCTCCTTAATGCCCATCACTCATTTAATCCATCCCCCCACCCACTTCTCCTCTGGTAACCATGAGTTTGTTCTCTATAGTTAAGAGTCTATTTCTTGATTTGTCTCTCTCTCTCTTTTATCTCTCTTTGCTTGTTTGTTTTTTTTTCCTTAAATTTCATATATGAGTGAAATCATATGGTATTTGTCTTTTTCTTACTTATTTTGCTTAGCATACTATTCTCTAGCTCCATCCACATCATTGTAAATGGCAAGATTTTATTCTTTTTTTAAAAAGTTTATTCATTTGAGAGAGAGAGTGAGTGAGCATGAGTGGGGGAGGAGCAGAGAGAGAGGGAGGGAGAGAATCCCAAGCCGGCTCTCTGCACTGCCAGAGCAGAGCCTGACCCAGGGCTTGAACCCATGAAACCATGAGATCATGAGCTGAGCCAAAACCAAGAGTCAGGTGTTCAACTGACCAAGCCACCCAGATATCCTTCTTTTTAAAAAACTTCATTTATTTTGAGAGAGAGAGAGAGAGAGAGAGAGAGCGAGAGAGCAGGGGATGGGCAGAGAGAGAGAGAGAAGGAGAGAGAGAATCCCAATCAGGCTCCATGCTGAGCCACCCAGGTGCCCCTGGCAATATTTCATTCTTTTTGATGGCTGTGTAATGTTCCATTGTGTATATGTGCCACATCTTCTTTATCCATTTATCAGTCAGTGGACATTTGGGGTTTTTCCATAATTTGGCTACTGTTGATAATGCCACTATAAACATTGGGGTGCATGTATCCCTTTAAGTTAGTATTTATGTATTTTGGGGGTAAATATCTACTGATGCAATTGCTGGATTGTAGGGTAGTTCTATTTTTAACTTTTTGAGGAAACTTCATACTGTTTTCTAGTGTGGCTGCACCAATTTATATTCCCACCAAGAGTATAAGAGCGTTACCCTTTCTCTGCATCCTTGCCAACACCTGTTGTTTCTTGTGTTATTAATTTAATTCTGTCCATTTTTAAACTGGATTACTGGATTATTTGATTTTTTGGGTGTTGAGTTTTATAAGTTCTTTATATATTTTAGATACTAACCCTTTATCAATATGTCACTTGCAAATATATTCTCCCATTGTGTAGGTTGCCTTTTAATTTTGTTGTTTCTTGTTATGAAGCATTTTGAACTGCAAGTTTTTTTTTTTTCCCCTATAATGTTCTTGTCCAGTTGTAGATTCAGGATTATTTTAACCTCATAAAACAAGTTTGGAAGTAGTTCCTCCTTCTAGGTTACTTGAAAGAGATTGAATAATATCGATTTTATTTCTTCCTTAGTGTTTGATAGAATTCACCAGTGAAGTAATTCTGGACTGAAGTTTTCTTTGTGGGAAATAATTACAAATCCAATTACCTTCTGTGGTTATTTTGACTTAGTTTTTGTTTTGTTTTGTTTTTGTGTGTGTGTGTGTCGTGTTGTTCTAAAAGAGTTTTCATCTAGTTTCTTTTAAGTTTTTGTATCTATTGGCAAGAAATTGTTCATAATATTTATTTATTATCCTTTTAATGTCTATGGCTTTAATTATGAAGTCTCTTCTTTCATTCCTGATAGATGCAGCTATCATCCTGATGTGGTACAGCTTATGGAAGCTTTGTTCATTGGTGAGTGGCTGTTTTTATATAACTTGTCATTTTAATATGGACCAAACTTGCTTTACATAATTATGTCTCAATCCTTGTTTAAATCAGAAGTGAGATGTTCAAGAAAAGTGAGAGTTGCACCTTTGGCAAATATTAGAGAAATAACCTGGGTTCCATAAGTATGGGGGGCATGCAATGCAGACCTTAGCAAGGCTATAGCTACAAGTGGCGGGGCTAGAGGGTGTCTCATTAAATTCTGACCACAGCATCAGTAACAGAGTTCAGGCCTATGATTCACAGCTGTTGCAGCTCAATCTTGAATTATATAGGCTCTGGCTTTAGCAGTTTATTTGGGCCAAGTGGGGCCCCAGAGGCTTAGGAAGAATGTGCAGCTGAAGCAATGGCGAAGAGTTTTCCCCCTTTTAATATATAAGATTTTCAGATTAAGCCCTAGCAAAATTTTTTAAGTTTATTTATTTTGAGAGAGAGAGAGAAAGAGAGAGCGGTGAAGTTAGAGGGAAAGAGAGAATCCCAAGCAGGCTCCACCCTGGCAGCACAGAGCCCAACATGGGGCCTGATCTCATGAACCATGAACCATGAGATCATGCCTGAGCCAGAATCAAGAGTTGAATGCTTAACCAACTGAGCTATCCAAGTGCCCCTAAGCCCTGGCGAAATTATGTGATGCTTGTTCTACAAAAGTTTACAGGCCAGGACTTAAAACTAAATTAAGTTTCATGAGTGGCTCAGAACATTGATGTATGTCTTTCCAGCAGCCTGAAGTAGGCAGAGAAGACAGGTGTCTTCAAGTCTGTTCTTTTTGTGTTGTTTTCAAATGCAATCTGGTCCAAGCAAGATCATGTGGAAACACTGACTGCTTGTGTTGTGTGTGACTTGTCCACAGGCTTGTGAGGGATATTCCTCTCATCATGACACCTCAGTTGGCTCTGGGTTTAATTACATAAGCACTGACCATGGCTTTAGAATTTCACATAAACTGCGGTTTCATCCATAAGTGTAGGTTTTAATAATAAACAAGCAACATCAAGGTTTCTGGTTCTTCTGAAGATGAATGGGCCAGGGTGGTTGGCTTGCTCCCCAAATCAACCTTGGAGAAACTGTGGAATCAAGAGATAGAAATGGATTCAAGGAACCAACAACGTAACAGTCCATGGAGAAATTCTTAGGAGACTGAAGTCTGTATTCACTCACTTTATATATAAAAGGTAGATGGCTGCAGCCCAGGGTGGAGGGTGACAGTAAGAGGATCTGTTGGAGGAACACAATGGATAAGATAAACAACAGAAATCTGTGGAAGGTGATTATGCAGCCTAAACGAATGTGGGTAGACAGGCCTAAACAGTTTCATAGAGAGGCAGAGGCTACTTCAGAGGGGTCATAGGGGAAATGCAAATGAAGAGGTTTTGAATGTGAAAAAAGTCACCTCAAATAAGACCCAGTGACTAGGGCTGATACCACTGTAAATTTCTAAATTTTATAAAAACACAGTAATAACTCAAATCTGGCTGAAAAGTAGGTAAATTTTCTCTCTAGATATAATAAACATAGTATCATTATTATTATTATGAGATTTAAATGAAAAGATGCAACTAAAGTGCTTAGCCCAGAACTAGCAAAATAGTGCTCAATAATTGCTTACTAATTGTTGCTATTTACTATTATTTTCACAATCAGTTTAAGGTGTAAGGTGCTCCTTGGGTGGCCAATTGAAGTCATTTGAATAAAACCTATACTTTGCCCTCTTTTTCTTTAATATGAGTATCAAAAGAAAAGGTCTTATTATGAGGCAAGAAGAAATATATATCAATGAAAAGGATATATTCTTTCTCTTTTTTTTTAAGTTTATTTACTTATTTTGAGAGAGACAGACACAATGTGAGCAGGAGAGGGGCAGAGAGAGAGGGAGAGAGACAATCCCAAGCAGGTCTGCACTGCCAGTGGAGAGCTCAACATGGGGCTTGAACTCATGAACTGTGATACTAAGACCTGAGCTGAAACCAAGAGTTGGACGCTTAACTGACTTAGCCACCCAGGCGCCCTGAAAAGTATTTATTCTTATATAGAAATCTATGAACCCACATCCAGATGTACCCAAGAAATCCTTTTGAGGAATGGGCATAAATGATACCATTAGAGGGTATTAGAGACTGCTTGGGCAAATGACCATGTGTGATGGTTGGCTTGGTGTGTGTGTGTGTGTGTGTGTGTGTGTGTGTGTGTGTGTGTGTGTGTATATATATATATATATATATATATATATATATATATAAAGTTTATTTGTTTTTGAGAGACAGAGAGATAGAGGAGGAGAAGCAGAGAGAGAGGGAGGGAGAATCTCACTAGGTTCCACACTGTCAGTGCAGAGCCCAATGTGGGGATTGAACTCACTTACCATGAGATCATGACCTGAGCTGAAATGAAGAGTCACATGCTTAACTGACTGAGCCACCCAGATGCCCCAAAGTGTGATGTATTCTTGAAACAGATCACAAAAATTGCACAGAGGCAAGAGACAAAGAAGACAGGACTTTTCCTTATCTGGAAATTTATTAGTTGGCTTATTTAGTTAAAATCAGACACCACATCAGACCATTCATTTTTAATAGGTGTGAGAGTAATAAAGTGAATTCCTTTGCTGGTCCTAGTTCTGGCTGGGAAGGCGCTATTAGTTGATGACATGGCAGTGATTGAAACCTTGAGATAAGGCAACTTTTTATTATGCCAGCTTAAGAAAACTACAGAACAGTAATGAGTGATAAAACAAATACCCATATGTTTATCACCAGGATTTAATAACCACTCACATTTTGCCTAGGAGTCTGTCCTTTCTCTGGTTTTCTAATACTGTCAGATGCCAATATGGAAAATATTAAGATAGTAATAACAGTTTGATGAGTCAAAAGTAAAGGAATGGAGCAATTATGAGGGTAGTACTGCCTCCTGATTTTATATTATGCCTAGTGTTCATTTTTGCAATTCTGTTGCCCATTGTGGGTGCATTCCCTTCCAAGTTTTTCATGAGCAGTCATCATGTTTGTGATTTCCCTTTGAAACAAGTGCATGGCCATTTACTCTCAGTGGGATGCACAATTTCTCAATATAGAGAAGAGGTCATTTCAATGAAATGCTTCACATCTGAGGACCCTGTACAGAGAAAAGGAAAGAAATCAACAATCTGTTTTTTATTGATATGGAAAGTAATGATTCTGAGAAATATCTCTGTATATAAAATACAATGGTAGAGTGACTTCTATTTCAAAATAAATCTTGAATTTGTAAATAAAATAGTACTTCACCTTTATATTATGTTATTAATTCTATTCCTTTCAAGAGCTCAGATTTTTTTCAAATTTATTTCTCCATTTATTTTCATCATAACTCTGTGATGTAGATAAGAAGATGTAGATATAATTTAATGATCAACATTTTAAAGAGAAAACATATCTTTTGGAAGTTTTATTTGAAAGTTCAGAAAATATATTTCATTTTCCCTTGCCACAAATTGTGAAGACTATAAAATATATCAAAATGTATATAGTGTAAGTATCCATTTTTGCTTGAAAATTTATATTATCAATGTTTATAACAGACTAGAAAAATGGAACACATAAAAATACTATATGCTTTCTTTTATGACTATAGATGGGTGTCATTTGTCACTCTACTTCTGAAAGCCATGAATTTGTCTATAGCAAATCCTGAAAGAATGAAATCGGCTTAAGTATATACCCTGGTAAAAGTAGTACAGAGAGAAAAATGTTAGCAGGCTTGAAGAAGTCCTTTTAGATACAAGTAAGAAAGATCATAAAGGTGCTTAAGAAAATAATCTAGTAATTTTCTGACAACTCAGTTCCATGACCCTGCGCATGGAATTCTCATTGAAATGTTTGAAATCATATCTTTCACTGAAGAATATATACTCAAGTATTATTAGGTCTAGTCAATTCTTACAGAGATTATAGATAATTTTATTTACTTATATTTCTGTCATTTTTTGCCAATTTTTATGCTTTAGTATTAAGAAAGAGAAGAAATACATGTTTTTAAAATGAAACAATGTCTCTGTGAGCTTTTAGGAATTTACTTGTAAGAAGAATCTAACCCAAATAGTATGTTTATTCAACTATGATATTAAAGAAAATAAAGATTCTTTGTTGTACATTTAAGTTATTGCCCTTATAATTCTTGTGTGTTTATTAAGTAATCTCTATACTATTACACTTTAATATATGTTGTGGGGAGGAAATAAAAAAGAATGATAAATCATGGAACTTTATTATAATGACCACATCATTCTTAATAGATAAAACATATGCACACTAAAAATTAGAATAATCAAATGCTAAACTGCCTTACTGAGAGCACAGAGGATGGAGAGATCAGGCTGAAGCAGCCTGAGATTTTGTGAAAAACGTAAGATTTAATCTTGGCTTTGAAAAAAATATGATTAAGGAGCCTTGAAAGTCAGGACATCGAGAAACTAATTTTTTATGTGCTGGGCAATAGAGATTCACTAGTCTTGATGAAGCAAATTCTGGGGGCAATTCTGTCTTAGGAGAATTAATCTGATGTTCTCTGTTGAATAGGGGGTGAGACTGGGAGAAGAGTGCCAGAAGAGACTGGTTATCCCTGATTTCCCTTCTCTCTCCCAGGGATTTTCCTTTATCTCCAGCAGGAGAAACTTGGGATTTTTAGTGAGGTACATGGCCATCCATTTCCCAGCTTTCTTTTTACTTAACTGTGGCTATGTGATGTGTTCTAGCCTAGGGGTTGTGAGGGAAAATGATGTGATACTTCCAAAGATATGTCCTTAAAGGAAGGGGCTATACTGTTTGTGCTCCCTACTTTTTTTTTTATTTTCTAGTAAGACTATATTTATTCAATACCCTAGTAAAAGTTTTGATTATAAGGACCCAACAGTATAAAACAATCCAAAACAGATTTGTAGATTTCTAATATATTTATACAAAGTGCATGACTACATACAGTACATCCTATAG